TTTGTGAAGACGCCATTGAGTGCAAAGTGTAGTTTTGTTAAGGTTGAAACGTAACAGAGAAGCAAGAAGATGAACAGTAAAATAGCGGGGAAGAAGCGCGAAATATAGGGACGTGGTTTAGTGGTGCGATGAAATGGAGCATCTTTTGGTTTTATAAGTGTTTGTAACGTTGCACCTTTTTTAAGCTATAAAAAGAAAATGATAATTGAAATTCTTAGGAACTTCAAATATTGCCTAGGAAATACAAGGTGAATATGGCGTAAGTTAATACTTGGTATTAAATCTGTCATATTTGGGGGTAATTATTGACACACTAAAAATACAGCCCAAATTAAATAGCCCAAAGAGTGAAGCCCATTTGGAGAGTCTAAGACAAAGGCCCAAATGAGGTTATTGGTAAATGTAGAGGAAGCCCACGAACACAATAACATCATTGCCCAAGCCTGCATGACGTCCAGAGTTTGGACGAATGGAGTGCCTCACTGTCACTCAGAGTGACAACCTCGTTTTCGCTCGAACCTTCGAATCGCCCAGACTCTTAATACATGAGATATTATGGTCTTGAGATATTATGATTATCCAGAATAGCAGTTATTGAAACACTTATCGAGCAGATTATCACATTCCACGATTTAAGGAGCCCATTTGAAGGCGGTTGAACGACAAAGAGTAATGACAGCAGTTAGAGATGGCAGTTCCACGACAAGTTAGGCACCATGAAGAAAATTGGTAGCAGTTTTCAAGCGGTTTGTCACGCAAAAATCATCGTGGGAATATAAAAAAAAAGAATAGTCATAGAGATAAAGACCCCGAATCAAACACTCTCAAACAGAGAATATGTAATTTCAATTTCTTAGATTAACTTTAATTATCCTTCTTTTAGTACTCGTGTGCTTACGCCCTTTAGAAACATTTTGTTTAATTTCAATTGTAACTCTCATCAACAAAGCAGCCCTTTTGGGGACTTTGTTTCAAAAAGTTTGTCTCTTACACAATCATATGAATTTCCTTTTAATTGTTAGCAAATATCCGCGCGAGACAGCTCTGCAACTTTGCCCACTTTCTTTTTGTAAATATAGAAATTTGTGAGTTTTCAACATTAATGTATTCCGACTCCGTTGATTTTTCAAATTATGATTTTTAAAGAAATATAAATATAGAAATTTGGTGTACTAATATATGATTTTTCCAAAGTATGATTTTAAGGAACGATTGCTGCAATCATGAAGGTAATTAACCTTAACAAATAAAGACTTATATAAGTTGAATATATCTCAAAATTACCCTTTTATTGAGATAAAGATAATTACCCTTTTATTGATTGAGAAATACCGTGTGGCATAGTACTGCTGTCGTATTGTGAAGCAGAATTTCTATTATGAGGGAGATATAGTACTATATTCCTTATTTTGGGAAGGAATCAATACTTGTATTCCTCGTCGCGACGGCGCCATCAGAATCACCGTGTGATGCTTTGTTGATCTAAAGTTGGACGTATAAATAATAACCATTAGTTGTTGATTTTCGGTTGTGTGGAATATATATTTAAGATGAGTTGATGGAATAAAACATCTTACTCTCCTCTAGTCTTGTCTATAATACCCGTCAAAGCATATTGAAAGTTGTGTATATATTCTGCAAACATATACAATCTGACAGCTCAGACACCTGCACTTTTGAATTCAGTCAAGGAGTGGTAATTATTGAAGACAATATCAAATCAATACCACTCGAAAGGAATATAAATAATCGGGAGGTTCGGTTTTTAGAAGGTAAAAGCTAGCTTTGAGAACTTATTCTTGACATATTTTGTGTGCATGTATACATTGTTAAGAAATATAATAGGGTTATTTTGTTTTATTATTTATTAAGAGTGAAATAGTCTTTTCACTTTCCTTTGTTTAGCCTATATATAGTCTCTTTGTATCTAGATTAAATTATCTTTTTGTATTCAATTGTTTTATGTAGAATCAATGAAACTCTAGCCTCCTCTTATTTTTCTTTAATTTTTTGGGTTGTTTAATAAGGTATCAGAGCTAAGTTTCATAGGACAATGTTTAATCTCAAACCCCAACTTTCGCTAATCGCTATAACGTTCCAAGTGCAAAAAAAAAAATCATAATGAAAAATGCTGCAGAAGTAGAAAGTAGCACAGTAAGTTTGGAAATATGCTGGTTTATAAATGATTATTACACTGCTATATTAGCCATTGACATGGAGTACGTACCAGACAATGAGTTGCCAGGCTTTGATGCTTTAGCAAACTATTACACCTGAATTCAGGTTGATTATATAATCATTGCAAGAAGGGAAGTGTTTTTCCAAATTAGTTAATTTGGAGCAAATTAAACGACAATTACTATCAAAATCTTTCCAATCAATCCACGTCATGACTCGCATCATTTGTGCTGTTGCTGCTATAATTTATAGCTCTCTGGTGATCGATCACCTATTCGGACATCCAGCAGCAAATTAATTTTAGAATTGAAACGAGAGGGCAACAGTGCGAACCACTCGAGAGACGTATGTGAAACAGTGAAGAATAAAAGCATATGAATCATTACAAAATCATAAACATAATTTGGCAATTCAAAGTGGAATAAACTGCTGGACCTCATTCCATATTCTGCATTTTAATTGCATACTTTATGCTGACCACAAGAGAAACCCACTGGTGAATGTTAAGTCACTTTTTTGGAGCACTTACCATAATGTCCGTCTTTTTTTAAGAATCCACGGCATAGAATTGATGCAAATTGGCACTTGTAAAACTTGATGGCATAATTTGTCATTTAATTCGTATATAAATTGTCTAGCTAAACATTAATGTAGTCAACAGCGATCTCAACACTCAAAATAAGAGCAATTAAGCCTTGCCATCAATTCCCTCTCCAATTCAGACGAGAAAAATGATAAGATGGGAAGATGTGTACAAGGTAGTGGTGGCCATGGCACCGCTGTATGTAGCTTTGATGTTAGGGTACGGGTCTATGAAATGGTGGCGTATATTCACTCCCGAGCAGGGTGAAGCTGTAAACCGCTTAGTTTGCTATTTCACCCTACCACTCTTCACTTTGGAGTTCACAGCTCAGATTGATCCTTTCAAGATGAATTATTTATTCATTGGAGCCGATGCCATATCAAAAGTAATTATTGTAACAGTTTTGGCGTTATGGGCCAAATTTAGTAGCAAAGGAAGTTATTGTTGGTCCATAACAAGCTTCTCTTTGTCTACACTTACTAATTCTCTTGTTGTTGGGGTGCCCCTTTTGAAAGCTATGTATGGACCTATGGCTGTTGACCTCGTTGTTCAGTCTTCAGTAATTCAGGCTATTGTGTGGCTAACATCCCTATTGTTCGTCCTGGAAATCAGACGAACTGGCAATGACTTCCACTCCAATGACAATAATAATAATAATTATAATACAGCTGCTGTAGCTTTAGATGATAAAACGCATAAAGACTTGGAAGAAAATGATACTACAAAGATGGACAATGAGGCGAGTAACAGAAGCAAACAATCTTTCTGCTCTTTGATGAAAACTGTGTGCCTTAAACTTGCTATGAATCCAAACTCATATGCATGTATACTCGGCATCATTTGGGCATTCTTTGCCAACAGGTATACATATATATATACATATGCTACTATTTATTTTTATCATCTTTTTTATTATAATACTTCTGTGGGATTACTAACTTACTGAGTTTCACTGTCCTTAATATTACTTGTATAATTAATTAGGTTTCACTTTCAAATGCCTAGCATCGTGGAAGGATCAATTTTAATCATGTCAAGAGCTGGTACAGGCACTGCCATGTTCAGCATGGGTGAGAGTAATCAAATCCCTGCACGTCCAAACAAATTTACACATAAACAGCAAAAACTAAAGCACATATAATTACGTTTATTAACTCGTAGTGTATTTATTGATCAGGGTTGTTCATGGCAATGCAAGAGAAAATAATTTCATGTGGTGCAAGTTTGACAGTAACTGGCATGGCCTTGAAATTTATTGCTGGACCACTCGCCATGGCCATCGGTTCGCTCATAGTAGGTTTGCATGGCGACGTCTTACGTGTTGCTATAATACAGGTAAATTCATCACATTCCCCTTGAAATGGAGTAGAATTTATGCAGAAAACCAATCTGGCTATCATAATGTCTGAAATACGTGGTATTAGGTAATTAAAATTGTTTTACTTTGCAGGCGGCACTACCACAATCCATCACCTCTTTTATTTACGCGAAAGAGTACGGTTTACATGCGGATGTACTTAGCACAGCGTACGTCACTTAACGATTTGCGATTTTTATAAGTTCTTCATATGAAAATTAAACTAACACAAAGCTTATTTTCAATTTTCAGGGTTATCTTTGGCATGATTGTGTCCCTCCCGGTGTTGATCGGATATTATGCAATTTTGGAGTTTGTGCATTGATGATCTTAATAAAATTGTTCAACAGAGGTCAACGACAAATAATAGATCCATCATTAATTGTTGACCGACCTGTGCCTAGGTGAAGGTTAAAGCTGTTTGAACAGCAGCCCTTGGTTGGCAATTTTTTTTCTTTTTTCTTTTATAGCCAATGAAAATGTGCCAAGTGAGCATCTATTTAAATACCTGTCATTGAACCTATTTGTGTAGTAAAGTTGCATGTAAATAATCAATATAGTACAGAAACCAGAACACAATACCTTACTTCTATAATTACATCAAGAGGAGAATTTACCTGTGCGGAAGACCAATTAATATTAAAATCTAGATGATACAGGTCTGAATATGTATATTAAACTTCAAACAAAATTTTTAAAAAAAATAAAAAAAATGTGTAGAATTGTCAGCTAACTAACGAAAATTTTGAATAAACGTTTGCTGAATCAAGGGAGGAAATAAAATAATTGTTATCACAGTCTTCCGGTTTCCATGCCGATAACAACTTGTCCTTCAGCTATACACCCTGAGCCTGAGGCGGCATCATAGTTTGGTCTAACAAGTACATAGCTGCCACAGATTTTATGATCAAGTTTAGGCACAGGAATTCGAGTTTTTCCAACCAAAACAATGCCATTGGAAGTTCCAGGATCCAATTTGGAGCCAATTCTATATACCTCGACATGCAAAAAATAGGGTTCATAAATCCCTATAGAAAATTGACTAGTGCAATTCCAACAGGGATTGGGTAACCCAAATGCAATATCTGTAATATATTCGTCTCCAGGACATACCCACAGGATGGCCTGATATCTCCTTCTGTAGCCATTGAGATTCATTGTGGCTCCGTCGATATCTCGAGCCAAGATGAGCCTGACGCTTAGATAAGCTCTTGGTTCTTCTTCCACCATCGCTCTCTCTCTTTTTAATTGTCCAGCAAATACTTTCTTGCCAAACATTATTCTGAACTGGGGCTATTTATATGAACTTTGATTTCTTGATGGGCACAGAGACCTTAACAGATATTTATTGTTGTGTATTACCTGGCTTAGCTAGGCTTAACCACTGTAAATATATACGGGTTTTTATAAGGAAAGAAAATCTTGTAGGCGTTTTAATTTAGAAGTCTAGAATTGGAAGAGATGTAAATATATACGGATATTTATACAAGGGAAGAAAATCTTGTAGGTGTTTTAATTTAGAAGTCCAGAATTGGAAGAGATGTTATGGAAATTGGTAACTTACCTTTTCATTAAAACATTTTTATCTAAATATTCAGTATGACCCACATCTTTTATCCAATTTTTATTCACATGTACATATCGAATGACTCACAACTTATATAATCTACAAAAAGCTTATCAAACATGGAATATATACATTCAAAAAGTAAGAATAATGTTATCTAGCGGAACTGACGCTACATCTTAATATCATCTGTACCGTTATATGATCCAAATACTAAATAACATATTCTAAATAATAATCGGTATTGTAGATTTATGTATTCTTTTATTTCATCGAAACATTACAATTATAGGATATATAAAAATGAATTGGAAGATTGCATTTGGATCGACATTACGGTAGCAAAATAACAAAATTTAGAACTAAGAATTCAAAATTGAGCAAATTTAAACAAGAGTAATAAGGCAAATTTTCCATTAAAATGTTAAAATTGAGATATTTTCTTTTGATAAGAAAATTTAGATATTATTATGTATTCGACTTACAATAGTTCTATTTCGATTAATTTTGACGACTCAAAGAATTGAGATGATCGATTTGTGTCAATCACGAATAACTAAATTGAACTAAATTAATAACTCTTGTCAAATCTAATTAAAATATTTGACTTGTGATTGTCTCAACCCACTATTTCCTAATGAAAACTCATAAACACACTGAATCTTGAGAAAGAGTTTATTATTTTTCCAATATATTGGCTACAGACTATGGCAACTTCTCCATAATTAAGTCATTTTGCCCTATCCTAACTAGTCAATATACCCCCCACATTTCCTTACTAGAAGTAACTAAAACGAGAAGACTCCAACGCGGAATAGAATTTCAATTCTCAAAAAACTGCACAATTTTCTTCAGTTTGTAATAGGAAACAGATTTCCAGCAAATTGCATGATCATATCGTGAATGCATGAGATATGGCAATTAGAAATATGTACCTATAGTATTTTTCTTGATATACGGATCTTCTTACAATCTCAATTATATCGTATATGATCTATTCAAATCGTATGTCTCATTTTGCAAATATTTATGATTTCATTTATCCCATCAATAACATGTTCAATTAAGAAAGGGGCATTGACGTCCAAACACTATTTAGAACTTAAATAAATAAAAATATCTTTACTATAGAAAATAAGTAAAAAATGAAAAACTATTGCTTCTTCAAGATCCCAACCGATAGATAATTGAAGCTTGTTTGCACGTTCTTATCAAAATTCTACGAGGATCTAGAATTTCGGTGGAGAGTGGTGGCGCGGTGAGGATAGGGAAGTGTGGAGTTGTGGCGGGCGAGAGACTCATTTGGGATCTTGAAGAAGACAATACTATTTTTTTTTTAATATTCTGTCTTTTATTTCTTTTCAATTTACTTATATTTTAATTTATTTAAGATATAAATAGTGTTATGTAATCAATGCCCTCTTTCTCTTTTTTTCTCTCAACATGCAGGAGCCCCAAAAGTTTCCATGAACAGTTGCAATAACCCAAGAGCCATCGAGCCCAAGTAAAAAACACATCCACCATCCAAGGGTCAGAAGCAATGCAAGTGTCAGTCATCAAGAGAAAACGTTNTGAACTGAGGATAGGGAAGTGTGGAGTTGTGGCGGGCGCGAGACTCATTTGGGATCTTGAAGAAGACAATACTATTTTTTTTTTAATATTCTGTCTTTTATTTCTTTTCAATTTACTTATATTTCAATTTATTTAAGATATAAATAGTGTTATGTAATCAATGCCCTCTTTCTCTTTTTTTCTCTCAACATGCAGGAGCCCCAGAAGTTTCCATGAACAGTTGCAATAACCCAAGAGCCATCGAGCCCAAGTAAAAACACATCCACCATCCAAGGGTCAGAAGCAATGCACGTGTCAGTCATCAAGAGAAAACGTTTCACTTATAAAAGTGTGTTTCTCCAAACACGATTTTACCATAAAAAATTCTGGGAGCAACAAAAGAGAGAACCAGGGTTCGACTCCAACACCTTCTTAATAGAATTTGTGGAGGACAAGATGTGCTAACTAATATAAGGTTGATGACAAAGAAAAAGTTGAGGATACAAGCGAATAATTAACACAGGTTGGATTTTTTTTATTTTAATTAAAATGGGCTTTGCAAACAAGAAAGGTAGTGGTGCAAATTCTCTTCTTTCGGCCCTAAAAAATTGTAATGCATTATCAAAATAAAAAATATATAATTGTCGTCTCTCCAAAAGCTTCCAATGATCCCAGACATCGAGCAAATACTCCCACGATCTCTGTAAAAAAAGATTTGTGTTTACTTGATTTATTAGATAAATTGGAAAATTACGACATGAAATTAGTTCACAACAAAATTGAAAATATTTTTTTTAAAATGTGAACAATAACATTTTAGGTTGAAAAAAAATAAAGGAGAAAACTGTGGGCTTATTGAGCCTTATTTAGGTGGTTCTCTTTTAACACCTTTGGGCCAATTGCTTGACCCGGATTGTGTGCCTGTCTATATCACGTGGGTTTTGGCTTCTTTGATAGACAACTCTCTCGACTTCTCTTCTAGGGCACGATTTTACTCTCTCTGTCTCGTTTTCTCTCTGGTCCTTTTGAAGCCCTTTCTTCCCTTCCTTCTAGTGGTTCCCAAATTGACCGGTTTCCTTCTTGGCTGTTTTTGGTAGACTGCTCAGTCGATGATCCAAGCCAAGGTTGAAGGTGGTTTGGTTGGTTCTTGATCTCTCTCTGGACGGCGATTGCAAGGCCTGTTCCTGAGCCTAATCTATTCGGCCAGCAAGAAGAGAAGAACAACTGGTGAAAGGAGGAAGAAGAGGGTTGCCTTTTGGACGGTTGCAAAGGGAAGTGCAGTTCTGTTCTTTATGGACTTCAATTCTGTCTGCCTCATTTATGTTCTGTTTTCAGTTCTATATATTGCCTATGTTTTCTGTTGATATGCTAATCTTTATATTGGATTACAATAGTTCTGTTCTTTATGGTCTTCATTTCTGTCTGCCTCTTTTATGTTCTGTTTTCAGTTCTATATATTGCCTATGTTTTCTGTTGATATGCTAATCTTAATATTGGATTACAATATTGAATGGGTTATATATATTCTGCTGGTTTCTGATATATATACGTGAATGCATTGGTATATGTTGATTACATATCTGCTAATGCTGGTTTTATGAACCTGATGAACTCTGGAAATTAGTTTATGTATAGGTTCAGATTGGGTATTGACTTCTGTCATTGGTTTATGAGCTTTAGAACTTGTTTATTGCTGTACATTGTGTCTGCAATAGGCTGAATATTCCCAACAAAAACAATAACAATTTCTCTTTTGTGACGAGATCAGCACACAGTGGCTAGATTAACTCTCTCAAAAGACTTTTGTGAAGCTCTCGTGTGTCTGAAACGACTAGAGGTATTTGGCACGTCAGATAAGAATGTGACAGACTAGGAGGGATACATATGAAGGTCGTTAATCTTTTATTTACATTAATCTCATGTTTGATTTGGATTAAAATTCAATTAAAATTTTAAGTCAAAATCAATAATTAATTTTAACCACATATTTAATGAGATCCACAACTTTTCAACGAAACATTTCATCAACTTTTATTAAAATTTATTAAAAATCTAATTTAAATCTCTAGCAAAAAGAGCTAAAGGTCAATAATCATTATTCAATCTCTCTCTCTCTCTCTCTCTCTCTCTCTCACACACACAACTTTTTTTATAGTCTTATTTTTAATCTTTAATTAACTAACAAGTGTTGTCCTTCATCACACTTTTTGTCCAAAAATATTGTTGGTGTGCTTTAAAATGATGTATCAATGTCTTAATTTTGTATTTGTTTTTATTTAAAAATAGTAAAATTAAATGTAGTATTTCTTACTCTATTTTAACGAAATTTTTAGATAGAATTTGTCATCATGAATGATCATTTGATCTCCCGTAAGAAATCGAGATCGTGAACAAGTAGTAAAGTAGTGAATGGAGTGTCGAACCTACGAGAACTATGTGTTTGACCGATTTAAAATCATTCATTGGTCATTTAATTGAAAGCATCTCTTGATATCGATCAAGTATATTCCCCTCATATGACCATTTTATCTCTCGATGAAAGATACAACTATGATAAATGCATTAACAAGTGTTAGAATACATATTGAAATCATATAAAGTATAAAGTTATATCTCTATCCTCTATTGAACTTTACAATATTTATTATATTGTGCTTAAACCTTATTGTATATCTCGTTAATAATAAAATTCTCTAACAATTGAATTGGTGATCAAGCAATTAAAAAGAATAATAAAAAAGTCCACAAATAAACCCAAATTAAAGTCAAAATGATTGATTAAAAATTAAAAATATCATAACAATATAATTAATTAAAAATTAAAAATATCATAACAAGGGTTCATTTCATCCTAACAATGTATAAAACTAGTCTAACATATTGAAATTACAAGAAATCATATTTCAGTGGAAAGACATAACCCTGATTTTTGATAAATTCAGAAGATGAATCTTGAATTCTTAATATCTTCAATGGTTTCTCGATGAATCTTCACTTGCGTCTTTTTTTTTTTTTATTGCCCAAAAATCAAGTTTGAATCTTCGCTTGAATGAATTCTTTTAATTCCTCTTCAATTTTCTCACAAAAACTATGAATTTTCCTCTTTTGATAATAATAATTATTAAAAGATATTAGAGTATAATATGTATATGAGAGTTTTCTAATATGTATTATGATGTTAGGTATTTGTAAGAGTTGACAATTAGTTAAAAATCACGTCCAAATTGATTTCCAAAGTTCTAATCGAATAAGGAAAGTTGTGTTTGCGTGATTTTTTTTGTTTATGCGCAGAAGAAAGCATTTTGGCTACAACCTATTCTCTCGATATCCAATTGAGAAGATTCAAAACGCGTTGGAATGATAACTCAAATAGATACAACTTTTCAAGAAATAGAAGTTTTCCAATTCCGAAGTCTACTATGTCAAAAATGGGTCTCAACCTTCGACTAAAAAACTGAAATATAACGTATGCGATTGAAAATTGATTTTGATAATATTTTGATCATATTCTATTTTTTTTAGTTCTAAATCCATCAAATTGTCTCTTAACAATCTTCAATGTATCATCTTGTCAACTATTGAATATTTGTAATTTGGTCCTCAAACTTAGACTTTGCCTTTTTTTTCCTTGATTTTTCCTTTGTTTTTTCCAATCTCTCGTTCAACCATTGAATTTAACTATATAACATAAAACAGAACAATTTAGAATATATTTTATCAAAAGAACCATCAAATATCGATATTTTAGGTCCCGAATAAGTGTATAAAATACACTTATTAATGAATAATTTGTATTAATTTGAGAATAAGAATGTTATGAAAAATTGAGGATGTAAATGTGATAATAAGTAAACGTTATGGACCTTTCATACAATTAACATATACGCAATCATTAAAAAATATGGTTTAAATGTATTGAGTCTTATTTTAACTAAATTTGCCTAACTCACCTCATACATCATATTAGTTTTATAAAGTAGATGAGAAGAGGATAAACACTTCGATATCAAGCAATAGATAAGAACTAGATATGATTAAATTAATCTCTGTTCACTTTAATATGGTGCGTCATATTAAAACTTGGGGTTTGTTGCCCTTCAGAAATTGATGGGTCATCATATAAAAATTTTATTTTTAAAAAAAAATGATGCTAGTATTTGCAATGATACACGCAAGAACAACATTGACAAAAGAAATTTCAACAAATTTGGTCTTTTTTTTTTTAACTCAAAACATAACTATTTCATTAAGCAATGTTACCTCTAACAATCATCGAAATAAAAAGGAATAGAATCAATCCAGTGATAAGACGCTAGGTGTGAAGTAGCAAAAGAAGTTATGGTACAAACCATTTTATTCCGACGACACGAGCCATTCACAACCTTTACAATAACAGGGTATTATGGTCATTTAAAGGGATAATTGCAGCAGATACTCCAAACCTTTCAAACAGTGGCAGACTTTTCCTTAACCTTTCAATCGTTGCAGCCGTCACCCCAAATCTTTCAAATCGTAACAGTTGAGGTCCCAATGGATAGTTTCCATCCAATCTGTCGTTAGTTGATCCAAATTTACCACATTTTAATCAATTTAGTAGGGCGGAACATTAATTTAATATTTTTCTCATAAAATAATTAAAAACTTAAATCAAAAACCAAAAAAAAAAAAGGAAAATTTATCTTCTTCATCAACCCCCAACCCCCTCAACCTAAAATCAAAAATTTGCCACCAATCGCCATCGCCTCACTGGGATGAAGACCCATCTTGATTAGCTCCTCAGCATTTTGGAGAAGTTCATCAGCAAATGAAATGGTCAAGTTAGCACCATCTCCAATTTCCTCTTGTTGAGCTTTCCTAGCTAAAACTAAAATTTTAGCCTCAGCTGTCCAACCAAAAGATCATAAACCCTATGAGATATCAAGTTAAACAAGTGGTCGAGAAAAAATCTTTCTTATTAAGGACAGTGGAGAGAAGATAGAACATCAATTGAAGATAAATAAGCCAACGCGCAAATCTATTCTCGTACTCTACACTTTGATGCAATGACAAAGATTCTAATCTCTAGAAAGAAGAAGGAAAAAAAACATGGCGAGTTCACGCAATGTCTTCCCATGCCCAATAATTTTGCCATCAGCGATGGTGGTCGGTGGCAAATTTCTGGTTTTGGGTTGAAGAGGTTGGGGTGGGGGGTGGGCGTTGATGAAGAAGAAGATAGATTTTATTTTTTTTTATTTTTTTGGTTTTTGATTTAAGTTTTTAATTATTTTATGGAAAAAATATTAAATTACCGTTTTGCCCTTTTCAAATTGATTAAAATATGGTCAAAATAAATTTTGTTTGGTCAACTAACAAAAGATTGGCTGGAAACCTTCCATTGGGGCCTCAGCTGTTACGATTTGAAGGGTTTGGGTTGACAACTACAACAATTGAAAGGTTAGGGGAAAGTCTGCCACTGTTTGAAATGTTTGGGACCTCAGCTGTAATTATACGTTTTTCTAATTTCCTTAATGGATAATGGTTGTCTTTTAAATACTTTGTTTAGCCAAATGAATAGAACAAAATGTGATATAATAAAAAAAAAAAGGAGAGAGATTGGAAAGTGTGAATGCCAGCTACTTTGAGGGAATTCATTTGCACAGCAAATTAAAGTAGTTTTCACATTTATTTAGAACTATACTAATTAATCATTGTCACATACAATTCGTATATTTTTTTCTTGCCGACAGAAACTCACATCATATTACACTTTGACAATCATTAAAAAGATTTATTTTTATTTTTTTTTTGAAAAAAATAAGATTTGGAATAGTGATTTTTTGAAGAACTGTGTAGTTCGAAAATAGAAAAAAGTTTTGGATTTACGTACGGAATATTTAATATTGAAAATGTGTGGTTGAAAATGAGTTCGAGAAAAAAAGAGTTCTGTAAAAATGGTTGTCTAACAGGGACTTATTAGCCGTGTTACTTGATAATTATACACTCATATGCCTTGTTAATAGTATGCTTCTGGATCTTTATGAAAAAATTGTAGAATAATACAAAGTGCGATGTCACTTTTGACATAAAAGTGGTAAAAAGGAGCATGAGAATAGTAATACTGAGGTGCCAATCTTTCCTACTTTTGTATGCTGATAGAGAGCTGATATCAGATAGCTTCATAATCTGCTTGCTGACACAAAAAAGTGAATTTCGTAGCTAAACTCAACAACTTGCACTTGATAGCAGCCAGGCAGCCAAACTAAACCTTGATCAATTTCCTATAATTAGAGGGATGCAACTATTTTACCTTACAAGTAGAACACACACTCAACACCTCATCTATATATGTTTTTATGTCTCCTTTTCTCTTTTTCATTCAACCCTCTTTTGGATTCATACACATCCAATACTGATTTCATGCTCAACTTTTTTCCTGATATTCACTTACCAGATTCTCTCACCTTCGAGTTCTTGTATTGCCTTAGCCACAAAATTACAGGACTCTTAAATGTTACTCTTTTTATGTGTAAAACTGAATTCTGTGCTACACCGAGCATTAGTTACTTTCAAAATTGAATAACCTGATCTAGCTTTAATTGTCCTCCTATGATATGTTTCCAAGGTTCTGAAAAGGAAAGTCTTTTCTATATTCTTCAGTATAAGCCATTTGGAAAAAAGTAGTATTCTGATTCTCATTCAATAACTTCAATTTCAATTGTTTTCAAATCCCTGTACAAAACCTTAATTTATCACCATACCCCACTTATCTTGGTTCCTTTCATATTCAGGAGATACAAGTATTCGACTTTCAAATTGTAGTGTATTGAGGCTTAAGGCTTTCAAAGAGTGGTTAAAGCATTTTAGGTATGGAAACCATGCATCCGGCCTCATTCGTGTCAAATTCAAGTTGGTTGATGCAACAAAGGAAAAGCACAATATGGACAAGAGAAGAGAACAAGAAATTTGAGGTCGCTATTGTAATTTATGATGAGAATACTCCCTACAGATGGCATAAGGTGGCATCTTTGATCCCAGGTAAATCAGCTATTGATGTGATAAACCAGTACAGGAAACTGGTGGCAGATATTACTAGTATTGAAGCTGGTTTGGTTCCGATTCCAGGATACTTGGCTGCTGCTTTCACATTAGAATTTGGAGAAAATCGTGATTTTAATGCTTTTAGGAAGAAAGGAAGGTCTAGTGATCAAGAAAGAAAGAAAGGTGTACCATGGACAGAGGAGGAACACAGGTAAATTTCCAATTCATAGCATGTTAGTTCTTTAGCTAGATTGAATAATTCCATTCGATAACACTAATTAGTAATATCTTTTTGTTTGTTAGGCGTTTTCTCTTGGGACTAGAAAGACACGGAAAAGGTGACTGGAGAAATATATCGCGAAATTTTGTGATCTCCAAAACACCTACTCAAGTTGCAAGCCATGCTCAAAAATACTTTCTAAGGCAGCTTACTGAAGGGAAAGAAAAGAGGCGTCCAAGCATTCATGATATGACAATTCCTCATCTCACACACACCACCGCCACTACTACTTGTTCAGAATCAGTTGATAAAAACCCCAACTCAACTGCCACTCCAAAAAAATTACTCAACTGGAACAACAAAAATGATGTTGCTTTAACGATTTTTGACTCGATTGCATATCCACAAGATATTACAAGATTTCATGGAAGAGCTGGGAGCAATATCTGTTCACTATACTAGATTTAAATGCATGCCAATTGTGGATTAAAGCTCAATCATAGTTAAAGTGGTTATGTCCTGTTGTATTTGCTTTGTGACAAGTTAATGTATGCTATCTGCTCATTGCAATCTTCTCTGGATAAACACTGTTGAATCATTCTGTATAACTCAACTTGTTTGAGTAAATGCAGCTGTCTCTAAATTCCTTATTATCACCACTCTTTAGTCCGTAACCGGGCAAGTGATCAAAGTTTCGTGAATCAGTAACTTAAATAAGAGTTTAAGCTTCTAGAGAGGGATGCATGCATTTATTTAAGAGTAATGCTACATGTACTGAGTTTTTTTACCTAATCCCTTACCGACTACTCACAATAGGGGGTGGGGACCACATCTTGGGATTTTTTTATTCTCACGGGGCCCGCATGCATGTGAGAGGGGGTAAACAATTCAGTAGATATTTTTCTGTACAAATATCTTTGTCCTTTATTTAAATCTCATCTTCAAAATTACGACTTCTAAACGCGTAAGCTTTTTTTTTTTTNTTTTTTTTTTTTTTTTTTCTATTAGCCATGGCCAAACCAGTTGAAAGGGTGTGAAATTCCAGATTATATCTGATATGATGGTATCTCATTATTTTCTTTGAACCTTTCTGCAATAGTTTAAATAATGTATTCAAATAGGTGAATGTGATTTTTAGGTTGATCACCATCACTTTGTTGAAGGCTGGCTGAGTCTGTATTCCACTAATCAAAGAATCTTCTATTTTAATCCCTCGTAAGCACCTAAGGGCTAACATTGATATTGTAGTGCGTGTTTTTTCTGATTGTCTTCTATATAATATCTTTTTGAATTAATTAGTCAGTGGTGGCATATAGCATATAGCATAATATATATTATATCACAAGTCCTGATAGCTTTTTGAGACTATTATTCCAGTTGCCGGCAGAGGTTGAAAGGATATGAGCTTCTGTTTCTTGCAGTTATGGTGTCCAAATTGCATTAGATTCATCTGTAAATTGGGATCTTCTATGCTTCTGTAATGGTATTTGAAGGCTGAATCCAATACTTAATACAAGATGGGGAATTTACAAAAATGGCTAACTCCATACTTGTCAATTAAAAAATATCTAATTTTGATAACTCTTGTAAAAATGACCAAATTTAGTACTAAATTGTCTATTATACCCTTAATGAAAAATAAATTTTTTTTTTCAATTTATCACGAATTTCGAGAAGAAGAAATAGCTTCCATGAGAAGCTACATTAAAATGACATTCTCGATATTTTAAAAGTTGTTTTCGATATTTGAACAATATTTATCTTGATACTTCATTTATCTGGAACGAGATTTCATTCCAAACATGAGAGTTCTCTACATTTCATAAAGTTCTTGACATTTGAAATCTAGTTCTCGATATTTTATACATGTGCTAATGAGAAATATAACATTTATTGTGATTTGATGTGTACTTTTGAAATAAGTAGGGTAAGTTATGTGTCAAAATTTTATTGGCCTACAAAATATTTAATTTTATGCACATTTTTGTATTTAGTATGGAATTATAAAGTATTAATAAGGGTATTTTGATCTAAAATATTACAAAATGGACATTGAACAAATTTTGGACATTTTTACAAAATTTGCTTTGTTACTGCTACATATGATGGATATCGCTTGTTAACCTCAAAAAATGTACCAATAGAATTTCGATCGCCTCTCATTCACGTAGACATCACCAGTGCACTCGAACACCTGTTAGGAGGCAAAGGCAACTGGCCAAGACGGTCAAGTCAACAGTCAAACAAGAAATAATATGAGTGCAAGAGGTGAAGAGGGGATTTGGCTAGTATAGAAATTCGCATCATTCATAAAAATGAAATTTCGGATCAAAATACTTACTTGAATTGATAAATTCCAAGATGTTTTTAGTGTGATTGAATCACCTTACTTTCCAAGCTTCAAATTCTGCATTTTCTATCACTTCAATGGTCCAAATCTCAATCACAATGAAAGGAGAATATAATCCACAACCTAAGTGCCTAATTTTATGAGTTTCTATGCCAAAAATGAAGTTCTAGGTGCTTTTCATTTTATATGTGATTTTCCATACGAATTTCACACATTTCTTGCC